TGACAATATTATTTATCAAAATTTGTATAGTGACAGAAATAATTTTGTAAAAATTTTAATAGCATGACAAATAATTTTTATACAAATATTTTTACATGACAAATTTTTTTTGTCAAAATAATATAGGCATGACAAATATTGTTTGTCATCTCAATAATGATAAAAATATTTATATCTATACTTTACATCATATGTAATACCGAAATAGAGAAAAAAAAAAAACAAAAACACAAAAGATGAAGGGTTAGTAAAAGGAGGCAGAATGGAGGTAATTGCAGCCATCATTCTTTACATCATATATAATACAATTTTACGTCATATACAATACCTAAATGATTGGAAAATTAACTATGAACAATAATTAGTACTTTCCAATCATTCAAAAAAGAAAATCTACCAACAAAAATCATCTTCAATTCCCATATATACATAGGCCATCAGATCATTCTCCCTTAAAAATGCATCAGAGGGAAAAACACACCTTTAATATAAACAACTATTGTTGGAGACACCCCCATCCATGAAACAACTGCTATATTTGCTCTCAAGGTGACGCATGCTAGTGACGACCAGTCTTGGAAACAACCTTGTCCTTCAACACCAGCATCATGGTGATTGGAAGATCATCAGGTATCTTAAGGACCATCAGGCACAACCCTNGAACTAAAATTTGATGAGCCTCTGAACCCGGGGTTTGATAAATGAGACTTTGCTGGTGCAGAAACGTGATTAACTTTTTAATTTATACCACTGTTTGTGCCAGTGATGACAGTATATCATTAATGAGGCTTTAGGTTTGTTTCTTGTTTATTACAGTAAAAAAAGTATTTCTCATGACCATTTTTTGTGCCTATTTGACAATATTTCATTAAAAAGGCAGTTTGCAAACTGCAGTATGCAATTTTGTAGACTGTAGTTTGCAAACTGCAGTTTGCAAACTACAGTCTACAAAATTGCATACTGCAGTTTGCAAACTGCCTTTTTAATGAAATATTGTCAAATAGGCACAAAAAATGGTCATGAGAAATACTTTTTTTACTGTAATAAACAAGAAACAAACCTAAAGCCTCATTAATGATATACTGTCATCACTGGCACAAACAGTGGTATAAATTAAAAAGTTAATCACGTTTCTGCACCAGCAAAGTCTCATTTATCAAACCCCGGGTTCAGAGGCTCATCAAATTTTAGTTCTAAAGAATAAGTTATCATAAAATCATTCCTAGCCAATGAAAGAGTATAAAGCAAAAAGCTTTTCCATCTTTGGAAAATGTGGTTACTTCACTACATAGTGCAAGACGACCAAAGTTAGAACCATACAAGGAAACATAAGGATTATTGTGGCAAGAAAATTGTAGACTGCAATATGCAAAATGTTTGCAAACTACAGTTTGCAATTTTGCATACTGCAGTTTGCAAATTGTAGTATGTAAAATTACAGACTGTAGTTTGCAAACTGTATTTTACAAATTGCAGTTTACAAACTGTAGTCTAACCTTGCCCAGAATTTCCTACATGAAGAGTAATGACATGTAGTCTAAACTGTAGTCATACCTCACTAGCAGCTACACTAATGACATGAAGAGTATAACCTTGCCCAGAATTTCCTGCATCCAAAAATTTAAAAGAGCAACAGTAAGTTTCTATGTTATACCTCAACCTCAATAGGAAATAATGAAGTCCAAACTGTATTTGGACTATACAGCATATAAACAAAATACACCATTTTAGATGGGCAAAGTAATGATATTGCAATACTATAATGCAGAGTAAAATAAAAAAAACACAAAATAAAATATTCTCAGAAGTGCAACAATAAGTATTTGATCACACGGTTCAAACATTAATAAGAGGGAATTTGAATTATTTTCTCCCAGTAAATGAAGAAAAAGAGAAAAGAAGTCTCACTTGCAACAACAATTTGACAAATACAATAAATTCATATTTAAATATGTACATGCAAACTGTTTGAGACTTCGCTTTTTGCAAACTGCAGTCTGCAATTTTTGTAAACTGTAGTCTGCAATTTTGTACACTGCAGTAAGCATTTTTGCAAGCTGCAGTTTGCAAACTGCAGTCTTCAGTTTGCAAACATGGTCTGCTTTGATTACGGGTTATTCTCAATATGGAGATTATGAAAAGGCATTGTACTATTTCAGTACAGCCTTAGCTTGAACATGCGAATATGAGTACATTGAATTAATTTAAACATGTTATAGTGCAAACTTGGCCGTTATGTTAGGTTATTTTTATCTAGATATTTTAAACTGAACATGGTTATTTAATGATCACTAATGTTATGTGTTTCTTCTTCTTTATAACATATCAGGTCACTTTGTCCTTTAATTAGTCTTTTTCTTGCTTTTCCTAAATACTTGCAATGAATTGAGAACTATTTAAAAAAAATGGTTGTCTTCCACTTGATAGAATTATAATAATTAGAAAATGATGTTAGGTTTTTTCAAATAACCTATCGTAGTATCTCTCCTCAGCTCTTAATTATGTTAATAGAAAGCGTATAGTTTCTTATCAAAAGAAGAAATAAGCTTACCTTTGGTTAATCACATACTGATATTGCACCTTTTATGGATGTGAAAGCATTTTCTTGTTAGCTTGGATTAATGCCATACAAATTCATAAAGGACAACTTTTAAGGAGTAATGTCTATTCTAAATTTGTATTGGGGTAGTTCTTTTCAAAATTCCATGTTCTAAAGCAGTGTTCATTTAATTTTGGGTTTTTTATTTTTTATTTTTTTTAATATAGTATGTATAGTGGATCAACTTGCACTGGGTGGAAAAACATTTTGTATTATTTCTAATAGATGTTCTACAGGATTTTCAATTGGAAATGCCACTATGAATATTATTTGGTCCATATCTCTTTGTGGTAGCCAAAGTTGAGGTGATGGAAATTAGGAACTGTCATTCCACTGTTGCTCTATAGTAAAATTTTTAAAACTAAAAAGAGTGTCTTTGGAGCACATGGTGAGAGATAGCAGTGAATGTGAAATTTGCATTTTGGATGCTTGAATGGTGTGTAATTCAATAATGGGATTGCTGAAAAATTGATTCAGACAAATAATAGTCTATGGGTGTGGCCCTAAGAACAAATATTTAAAAATATTTACTTGGATTCCAGAATATTACCATGTGTGCTTAAAGTAGCAGTATATATGGGGATTGCTATAATTTCAAGTACATTGTAATTTTCTGTCTGTTGTTAACGGAATGCTAGCAGCAGAAGCGCATTTGGTGCAGTTCATGAAGGCTTGAATATGGAAACTATTGGGATAATTTAAAGAATTCATGGGTGTGGGAAGAACTCCGCAGAGCTCGAAACTACCGACCGTTAGTAAAGCGTTTCTCATGTCTTATCGCTTTAACTTTATAACTATATTTTTTTAGATTTCCAGAATTTTGTTTCATTTGTAATGCTCCATTTAAGCTCTTAATTATCTCCTGAGCTTTCCTGTTAAAGGCTGATCTCAGTGATTACTTTGCCTTTCTGATAGTCATTTCTCAAATGAAACACTTTAGATAACCATCCTAATTCTTCTTTGGATGGTATGGAACATTTGCTTATATACTTTCACTTAACTCATTAGATGGTCAAAGTAATTAATACAAAACATATTTTTAGATGATCTCAGTGGTGACTGAAATTTTGAAAGAGCTAATAAAATTGAATGTTGGTTAATGCCAAATTCTTTAAATTATAGAACTATTACACTGTTTTCTTTAAGCTAAAATCGCCATCCATCTTAGAAGTCTTTTCCCCTGTAGGCATTCGAGTATGGTCTTTTTCCTGGTTTGGCAATCAGTGCTTTAGAACAGTAAGATTTTATTCTCTCCCACTTTTATTTGTTGCTGTTGATCCGTATTTCTTTTTTCTGTGAAAAGATTAGCAGTATTCTCATATTAGTTTTTCAAGTGAAACCTTATTCAGCTTAATTTCGTGCTTGGCAGCTATATATAAGAGGAAGGTCCCCTTCACGCTGAAACATGGGAAGCCTGACCATGAAGCACAGATGTAAGGAACACCACCATTTAAGAAATCATGGATTCTTACCTCATAATGACCAATGGATTTTCTATTTATTCAGTTATAGCAAACATTGGTTTAGCTAAATTACTTTAGACAATATGTTGAATCTATCGATATTTGTAAGTAACATCACATAATAAATTTTGATGGAAGAAAATTTACTTTAGGGAAAATCAAATAGGGGAAAAAATTTGACGCTTCCTTCATAGTATGAATGAGCATGATTTGTCAAAAATACAAAATCACATTAACATACATGTCGAGAAACCACAAATCTCAAAGTTTAGGTTTGCAATATTAAGTCAGTAGAAATCGGTTGTCATTTATTTTGTGGTACTCTCACATAGATATAGATCAGCAGTGTGAAGCATTATTATGTATTTTTTCATTTTTGCATTTGCAGGTTGCTCGGCTACACTCACCTATTCAATATCCAAAGCCAGATGGGTGTTATCTTTTGATATACCAACCTCTCTGCACAGGTTTTTACATAACAAACTCTTCTGACATAATAATACTTTATCTCTTCATTGCTAAAATGTCAAAGAAAAGCTGCGAAGGAAATTAGATTTCAGTTAGAAGTTCAATTTTCATTTATACTTTGGGGCCAGGTGGACCAAGTGGTAGAATATAATTCTGTTGGTGATTGTGGAAAAGTTGTTAGATTGTGCATTCTGTTTAATCAACAAATGAATGGCTTTAGTTGTGAATGGCTTTAGTTGTATGAAACCAATGCAAGACCCAATGAAGGTAAAACTGGATTGCCTTAGAGAAACTAACATCAATCAAGCAAAAAAAGAAAAAGAAAAGAAGAGGAAAAAGAGGATACTCTATGATGATTGGAAATGTCAATTTCTTCTTTGTTTTAGATGTTCAAAGCAATGATGTTATCTTTGTTTGCCTACTTAGGAGCAACACAATCATGAAACATGATCAGCCAGCTCATCTTCGCTTTAAGGGACCCAAAGATACCAGAACTTGTGAATTTCGCGGAGTATGCTGCACCTGAGTCACGATATTGTCCTGCACGTGTATACGAGTAATGTGCATCTATTATAAGCGTGCTCACATATTCTTGACATGGATCAATCTGTGATATATGTACTTCATCTAATCTGAAATGAAGGTATGTCCCAGACAATGAGATCAGCTAAAGTTGCAGATCAACGCTCAAAACTGCCTGCATTGCAAGGTAGTGTTTATTACCATTTCCGCAATTCTAGGAGATTCAATGAGATTCCCCAAATCGGAATGTTTTCGAAAAACATAATTTCATCATAGCATTTCATATGTTAGGAATTGTGACATTATTGCACGTTATAATAACTTTTGTTAACTTGAATGATGTTCAGGCTTGTGACATCAAGGACCAAAGCAAAATATAGAATGGACAGTGCCAGAGGGAGGTGGTGGTCCAGGCTACTCAGTGTGAATATATAGCAACTGACTGCCACTATTCACTGTAAAGGCAAATGAAGAAAGAGTTTGTATTTACAGTAAGAGCTTTGGCTTTCACAGAAATAAGAAGTCAATGTCAGTGCTACATGTAAAGATCTCATTGGCATTGCAGTTTTCAAGAAAGTCATTTTCTGTTAACAGTTTTCAAGACCTAAAGATAAGCAAATCTGTGCTTCTATATGGTGGTTTATGAAGAAAGATCGTAACACTATGGCATGAATCTTTTCTGAAACAAGTGATGTTTAGAAATTTCTTTTGAAATCATTAAAATCAATTTAATTTAATTTTATAATAAAGAAAAACAGCTGAGAAATATATAAGAAATATTAGTAAATATTATTTAAAATTGAAATGAGAGAAAGTCCTATACACTATTAATATCGAATAGGATACAAGAGACAATAAAACCAAAGAGTTTATGGAAACTTTTGAGCAGAATTAATACACAACAGAGGTCAAGATTTAGTGAAGTTTGCTTTTATATTAGTTACATTTTACTAATTACTCGTGGGCATATCATTCTTAATTAAATTCATCTATTTTTGAAAGTCATAGTCAAATTAATAGTGTAATTTTCAGCATAAAATATATAAAACTTCTTTTTTGAATTTAAAATTACAAACTTTCTAACACCTTTTTCTGGTAATAATAAAAAAGACATCCTCAAATCAAATAGTGAAAAACTAGTTTTATTATATAATAACTCTAATTTCTTTCCTTTTTAGGTTTTTTTTTTAACATTTAATAATTGATTTCATGTAGGTCTTTAATTATATAGGTTTTTCTCTTTGTATATCACCATGGATGTAATATGGTAAATGTCAAAAGATATATAAATTTTGATGAACAAAATTAGGATATAAAAATGACATGGCTTATTATAAAAATAAAAAAAAAAAAAAAAAAAAAAGAGATAAAACTTGAGAAGTATAATATTGTCTTATATAATCTTATTTTAATTTAAGCTTATGGGTAACTGTATTAAAAGGACAAAATTAAATAAATGGACAAGATGAGAAACATATTTATTATTTCAAACAAAATAATTATTTTTTCGAGAATTTCAACCACAATTTTGCACATGAGAATTTAAATTTGAAGTCAACAATCAGCATTGAGAATTTTAAGAAAATCTATTTATAATAAACATTCACCATAATCCAAATAAAAATCATGTTCACTTTCTTCATATTCATGATTAACAAGATAGGTATTGATAAGAAATCACGTGCCATCCTAGCTATGTTGGATAAGTTGAAGATTTGTCATGCCACCATTGTAGTCGCTACAAGAATTCGGCTTATCACAACAAAATAATTGTATCTAGAAATATCAAAATTGTGACTATTTCGCTAATGTGATGAATATATTAGTCACCAAATTGGTCACATTAAGCTCGTACTCTTAAGTGTATAGTGACGAAAGAGCGTTTGGTACCATAACCTAAATATTTATTGTGACAATAATAATTGCCACTTTAAACCAGTTTATGTGATAAATATTGTACAATAGAAGACATTTTTTATCACTACAAATAATATTTTGTCACAATTGATTTATATTTAAAGATAAATGATAAACTTTATGGTGAGAAAATAACAAATTATGACAAAATTGATTTTGTCAAAATTGTAAATACTGACTAAATTATTTGCTCATAATTTTAATAGCGACAAAAATTTATTGTCATAACTTTATTGTGGCAACATTTAATTTGTCACATATTTGTTATATGACAATATTATTTATCAAATTTGGTACAGTGACGGAAACAATTTTGTAAAAATTTAATAGCATGACAAATACTTTACATGACAAATTTATTTTGTCAAAATAATATAGGCATGACAAATAGTTTGTCATCTTCAATAATGATAAAACTATTCATATCTATACTTAATCATATAAAATACTGAAACAGAGAAGAAAAAAAAAAAAAAAACCAAAAAAAAAAAAAAAAAAAACAAAACAAAAGATGAAGGGCTAGTAAAAGGAAGCAGAATGGAGGTAATGCATCCATAATTCTTTACATCATATATAATACCACTTTACGTCATATACAATACCCAAATGATGGAAAATTAACTATGAACAATAATTAATATTTTCCAATCATTCAAAAAAGAAAATTACCAACAAAAATCATCTTCAATTCCATATGTACATAGGCCATCAGATCATTTCCCTTAAAAATGCATCAGAGGGAAAACCAACCTTTAATATAAACAACTATTGTTGGAGACACCCCCATCCATGAAACAGTTGCATATTTGCTCTCAAGGTGACGCATGCTAGTGACGACCAGTCGGAAACAGCCTTGTCCTTCAACACCAGCTTCTGGTGAACGGAAGATCATCAGGTATCTTAAGGACCATCAGGCAAACCCTGTTCCAATTATTAATATCTTTTAGAGCAGGAAATTGCAAAAATAACTAGTTTAAGATGAAACTATATAGGTATAACAATAGGAGAAATTGGGTGGCAGAAACATGAGCAAGTTGATGAGTAATTGGCTTCAATTGGTGTACATTCAATAAGTTAGTACACGCAAAATATCAAGTTCATATCAGGGATTTTGTTACCCTAATGGCGCTGCATATAAAACTTGTTGTTGTATAGTCTCCATAGTATTAATATATGGTAATCACCAGTTAAGCCCGTGGTCTATGCTTAATGGTAGAAAGAGACATCCCAGTCTGTGAAACCGCTCTTACAAATGCAATATTCGCAGTCAAAGTTGGGCCATAAGCCACTGGCCACACAATAAAAAAGTAAAACTACAATTTAATTAATTACATTGAAACTTGAAAAAGTGTTAGACCCAACTAGTCAACAAAGTAAAAAGGAAAGGCATCCTTGCTCTATTGATAACATGGCAACCAATCAAGATTTCCAAAGAACTAATTCGATTCAAAGAAAAAAAACACTAAAGAAATGCTTAGGGGGAAAGAGATCAAAAGGGTCCTATACTATTTTGCTCAAGGTTCAAGCATTAATGAAATATGCCTCAGAAGATTAATCTTCCCCTTTCCAATTTAATTTGCAACTAACACACATAAACACACTATAATAACAATTACCAAACACAAATTAGAAGTAAAAACAGAAAATTTAAATTAAAATTATAGAAAAGAGAAATAAGAAATACTGAAAAGTATATCATGTTTAGAAATCAATTTCATTAAAAGTTTTACATTTAATTTTATAAATTTGGCATTCAGCAAACAGTCCGAGTTACCAAAAACAATAATGACTTTGTAAGGTGTAGATCATATTGTGCATATAATTCCTTACCATGTTCTTATAGTACATACAAGATTAATAAGACAACAAATATCAAAAAACTCAAAAAAAATAACACAACCCAATACCCATCAAAGGAATTGTCTAATAAGCAACTTTAATGATAATACTAAACAAAGCACACAAAATGAAACAAGTCCAGCAAGGGTTTTGGTTAAAACAAGACATGAAGTAGTCACGTGGAAAGAATTAATCAAACTATAATATCAATAAATTTCAAAAGAATGAAGACAAACCATTAAGGCATTTCTCTAAAAAGAACAACTTAACGATAATACCAAACAAAGCTTACAAAATGAACGAAACTAGCAAGTTTTTTGCTTCAAACAAGACATGAAGTGGTCAGTGCAGTGAATTAATCAAACACAAAATCAAAAACTTTCAACAAAATGAAACAGCCCATCAAGAAAATTTTCCAAATACAAAGACTTTAATACTAAAACCAAATAAAGCTCACAAAATGAAAGGAACCCAACAATCGTTTTGCTTCGGATAAGACATAAAGTGATGAAATGCAGTGAATTAAACAAAAAAGAATATAAAAATTCAACATAATGAAGACAAACCCATCAAGAGAATTCTCTAAAGATATAACTTTAATACTAAAATCAACAAAGCTCACGAATTGAAAGGAACCAAGCAAGGGTTTTGCTCAAAGAAGCCACAAAGAGGTAAAGTGGAATGAATTAAAGAAACAAGTAAATAAAAAAAATATAAAAAAATGAATGCAAACCTAATTCCCTAAAAAAGATAGCTTTAATTATAAAACCAAACAAAGCGTAAGGATTTTGTTTCAACCAAGACAAAACGATCAATTGTAACGAATTAATCAAACAATTTCCCAAAAAAAGAAAAACAACCCATCAAGAGAATTATCTTAAAACAACTTTAACTCTAAAACATAACAAAGCTCAAGGATTTTGCTTCAAACAAGACAATAAGTGATAAAATGTGTCGAATAAATCAAACAATAATATCAAACAATTCAAACAAAAGCACCACAACCCATCAAGAGAATTCTCTAAAAATCACAACTTTAATGGTTAAACCAAACAAAGCTCACTAATTCAAAAGAATCCATCAAGGGTTGTGTTGTATTTTGCTCGTTTGTGTACCTCCAACAAGACCAACACTAACACCAATGCTGCAGCCAATGCCGGCGCAGAAAGCAATACCCATTTGGTGAGGTCCCTGAGCTTAATTTGAGGAACTGTTCATCTTTTTCATCTTCTTCAAGATAACAAGCAAAGAGAGGAACTGATGTTGATATGGGTCTTTCTACTCGATTTCTCAAAACAAAAACAAACCCACTATACAAAATAAAACTACACCACATTCAAATATAGGCCCCAAACAACATTACTTGAAGCCAAACAAAACTCAAACCCAGATATATAAATTTTACAGAAAACCAAGCCTTAACGGTTCACAACAGTAAAAATCCAAATTTTAAACCAAATACAACAAACCCTTATATAATAACCTTATTATGAGAAATCCTGAAGCAAAGGTACAAAATAATGAATTGATAGAACAAAAAACACAAATAAAAAAAAACCCTAAAAATAACGATTTGTGTTTGAAATTAAAGCCAATTTTTTCCCCAAAAAAAAAAAGGAAAAAAAAAAAAAAAAGGAAACCTGGCCTTTGACTTTGAGGTTTATGTGAGCCGATTGATTGTTGAGCTTCTTGTCTTCCTCTTGCGGTGGATTGCAACGCCTGACATCTTCTGTCCTTTTGCGTTCTACAACAACCTTCCCATCTTCCTTTTACACTAGTTTTGGAAAATTTTATTTGTCCCTACTTGAATGAAAAGTAACAAGGTAAACCCAAATAATATAACATTGACCCCTAAATAATGCAAAGGAAACAAAATCAACCTCATTTTGTGTTGGCGGGAATGAAATGTTTTCTTAATAATTGGGTATATGATAATATTTTTAAAATGTTATTTTATTTTGATTATATGGTAACATTATAAAAAAGCTATTATTATTGGGCTATTGTAACACTTTAAAAAGCTATTGTAAATATATATTAATGACATTTTAAAAAAAAAGAGTTACCATTAATATATAAAGTGTTATAAAAAGTTGAAGAAAATTTTTCCATACTATTTTAACATCAAGTGTACCATAAATAGTCTACAATAACACTTTCGGAAAGTGCAATTTTTTTTTTTAATTTTTAAAAATAAAAGTATATTAACAACAGATTATAAATTAAAATTTGGGGACAAATATTTACAATGGATTGAAATGTGTTGCTACGATTTTACAAACAGATTTTTTTATTACTGATTGTTGGTAATTTGTTTTAGAACAGATTCTTTGATCTAGCTAGATATAGCAAAACCTGTCCCGCCTCTGATCACCCCTCAATCCCGACCAAATTACCTAGCCCTTGACCTCGTACCCAATCCTATGCATTAATGAGTTTTTTTTTTAATGACATATATGTTATTACTAAAAACTTGAAAGGAATGACAAATACTTGTACGTGATTAATTATGTTTTTTAACAAATTTTTGTCACAATCTATCACGTTTAGGTTGACTCAAATATTTTGTCATTAATACCTCTATTTTAAAATGTTCAAAGATAATTTTGTTTTTTTTTTTTTTTGCAATGATAAATAATTCTTTTGTGACAAATTAATTTGTAATTATAGCATGTATTACTATATATACTGATTAAAGTTTTTTATGACAAATATGTTTGTCATGATAAACAATTTATCTCAGTGTTTAAATTTTGACAAAAAACATTTTGTCATTAATACCTCTATTTTAGCATATATTATGGCAATTTTTTTTTTTTTTTGTAATAATAAATAAATTCTTTTGTGACAAAATAATTTGTAGTTATAACATGTATAACTAAATATAGTGATTAAAATATTTGATGACAAAATATGTCTGTCACAATAAACAATTTACCTAGACGCCAAAATTTGGCGCCAAAAATTTGTGACGAAATATTATCATAAAAATGTTTTTCTTCATTACATTTATTATGGGTTTCTTTATTGTGATAAAATATTATGACCATATTAGTTTTAGTCACTATATATTCTCTTTGTCATACTTAATGTGATGTTTCTTTATTTTGTCATAATACCTATATTACTCGTGACAAAATAACATTGACAAAATTAATTTTGTCACAATATAATATATTTCTTGTAGTGAGTATATCCAACCCTTCATCTAAAGGACACTTGGGATCATTAAAATAGCTGTTGAGTTCTGACTCTTAAGAGGATGATGACATAGGATTGTTAGTTTCCTTTACATATTGGTTGAAAATGTTTGTAACACCATCAATGATTCCGATAAGGCGTGCACCTACATCAGTAAAACCTCTTTTATACATCTCTTCGTAGAGTTTTTTTATAATAAAATCATTTTTGAATCGTGGATCCAAAATTACTCTAGTCACTAAAACCAACATAGAACCGTTCCAAAGTTTATCAATATTTTTCCGCAAATGTGATACAGAGTCACAAATGTAACTATTATCACTTCTTTCCAATTGATCCAATTTCGAAAAAATCTGACATATCATTGGGAAATACTCATTTGCGGTTTTATGTTCAAGATGGTCCAAGAAGTTATCGACATCTTCTCCCAAATCATTTAACGCTTTCTGACAGTTGTACATTAAAGTTGCCTCGTCCCAATCCTCTTTTATAAAATTTATAGACTTGAAATCAGGATCTATATCCTCCAGTTCACATAATGCTTCTTTACATTCCATTGGCCAACGAAGCACAACCTCGCGTCCCATCCATGATTCAGGAACACGTTTGGAAGTCACTGTTTTGCCCTTGGACAAGGCTTTTTCAATCGCTGATCGAAACTTATTTTCATTTGTTCTAACGTAGTCCAAAAGCTTATCCAATTTAGTTGAAATAGCTGCTTTCCCCCAATGGCTTCCCAACGCACCTGAACAGATATCACGATTAATTCTTTGGAATAAAGAAGAAATCGAAGGACAAATCCCAGTGAAGGAAAGTAAACCTTGTTCATTCAACGAATCGCAAATATTCTCTTCTTCCTTCTCATGAAAAGCTCTAACTGCTATCGCAGAAATTTTTTTGTCTATTTTCCAATACACAAGCAAAGACTTCAAACTTTCAACGGAATCATGATTGTATTTTCCAAAACAAATAATCCAATTTTTCAACTCCCAACTATCATCAATAAACCAGATTTTCATTAACCAATTGCCATAGACATTAATCTGAATTGTCACATTAAATCGACATGGGAGTTTATCTAAATATCCACGAAACTTATCCTTCTCTTGTTGGTAAACATCAACTATCTCATCCTTTATGCCTTCTAGCCCATACTTAATAATCTTTCGCACCAAATCAGAGCCATTTATTTCTGGATCAATCACTGTTTTCTCTTTTGCTTTATTAGCAACTCCACCTGGATTTTTCAAAACTGGGCAGCTGTTTAAATGATTTTTGAGGTGCGTGGTTCCGCTCTTACTTGATCCTACAAACTTTCTCTTACAGTGATTACACTGAGCCCATTCCTTCACATCTTTGCCCACAGAGTATGTGAAGTCTTCCCAAACCTTTGACTTCCTTTTCCGTTTAGAACGTGATGAATTCTCCACATCTTTATTCATCACCATCTCAATCTCTTTATTTTGTTCTCTTATTTGGGTAATTTCCTGTCAATATACAAATAGCTCTATCACCTACTAATTAAACAATAAAAAGCAAATTTAACTAATCTAGACGAGACAGAATGAATACAAATATTTTAGGCAACCAAGTCTATTTCTATAGTTTGCTAGTGAATACCTTTGAAGAAGAAAGAGATGAACAAAGAAAGTTTTAAGAAAAGAATTTTCAAAAATGATTCATTTGTTTTAGTTTGAAAATATACAAGATGACAACTCTCTGATCCTTCCATCAATCCTTGTGAGCTAAAGATGAACAGTTGAGATTAACTACTCTAGCACAGGTTATTCTAGATTTCCTCTTATTAATATGTATAAGAGAGAGTTACCTGCCCATGGTGCAGATCTGTTGTATTGATATTGGAAGATACATGTGCTTCTCCCCGTTGCGCTAAAGATTCAATCTCCTATATATTTTAATGGTAAAAAAAATGTAATATCATGAATTATTTACTTCACCAAAGAACCCAAATCAGCTCTAATTGTATGACGGTAATTTTCTTTCATTAATAATGCAATTTAATTATTTACAGAATACCAAAACCCAAGGAATGCAATTTTTTTATTCACCTTCTTTAACCAGAATTGCAGGGACTTTTTATTGTGATGATGAAAAGATCAAGGTAATCAAAAATTAAGAACCATATCATGTTAGGGGTTGTTTGTTTTTATAGCTTTCCACGTAAATCTAGATAAAAATTTAAGTCTTTTGATTGTTTGGTTTTCATAAATCATCACTTATTTTCAGATAAAATCACTTACTAGAAAAAGTTAATTTCACACTTAAAATTTAATAGTAATACATATAGATAACATTATCTAATATACTCTTATTCCATAACTTGTATAATTTTCTATAGCAACATATGTGTGGTAAATTATTTAATTAATTATATAACATACCATTAATAATATAAATATCTAATTAACAAATAATTTTAATTTAATGATATTATTATAGCCTATAATTAATATAAATATTAGTTGGAACTAAATCAGTGAAAGTGCTTTTAAAAAAAAAAAAAAAAAATCACCCTTAATATACAAAGGTTACCTGTACTTGTCGTTGAAGAGATTGAAGACAGACCATGATTTCATTAACCTTTCCAGCACTTTCAGGGGTCAAGTTGTCATTGTACCATTCTACTAAATCTTTCAAACACTTCATTCCCTCAATGATTTTTACTTTTCCCACCTGCATAAATTACAGAGACATGAGAGAGATAAAATTTAGTGGAGAAGTGGAGATTGAACATGAATGAGAAAAGAAATACTTACTTGAAAATAAAGATGAGGATCAGATGCAATGGATATCGCTTCCATCTCTTTCCTTACAAACGAGCCTAATTAAATCAATATGTAAGTTTTTGAGCGATAAAATTTGAGCAATCCTTGAGTGTATATATAGAAATTAGGGTGAGTGAGTGGTTTCTTTGCACTTTCCTTGTTTTTCTTTAACCTCTGTCAGTCAAAGACGGTGCTTGGATACTTGGATTTCATTATCCCCGAAATCCGATATATGTTTTTCTTAGCGCGTTAGTGGTGGTCCACACGGTTTTTTTTTTTTTTAATTAAAGTGGTCCACGAGTTATTTCTATTTCCTCACTAAGGCTAAGTGGCTTTTACCGTATCCAACCACGCGGATACGACGCGAGCAAGAAACTATAAAGCCAAAAGAATTAACCAATCCAGCACGAGTTCTGCAACATACTCGTTTTACTTGTCAAACAGCTGTCTTTTTTAATAGGTGTCACATAAAGAACGCGAGTTTGAGAGATTGAAACGAGGCAGAGAGAGTTCTAAGGTAACAGTCAAAATGAAAAAGAAGAAAGTCGAAAAGGCGAGAGAGAGACACGCTGCAATCGTGGTGGATACGACCGATAGAAAAACGATACGTGTAAGAAGATCGGCGTTGGGGTCCAGGCAGAAGTTCGACGTGGAAGTTTCGTCTTACAGAAGAAGGGCGCTTCGACATTTGCGACGACTTTAGTCGGTGGTTGTTTCTTTGCAGTTTCCTTGTTATTCTTTAACCTTTGTCAGGCCAAAAAGTTATAAAGTGAGTGGTGGTACTTGGGCCACTTGGCTTTAGATTTTTCTTGCTCGTTGGTGGTGGTCCAGGTCCACACGTTTTTTATTTTTCGTTCAGTGAAGCAAAGAAAAATTGAAAGATATATTTTATCATCTCTAACACTTTTCACAAAGCGCTCAACGTACGTAACAGTTTATAATTAAACAGATAAAATTTATTATAAATTGGTTAATTATGAACAGAAACATTAAGAGAAAGTTTCTAAAATAAATTTATGAGTATAATATTACTGGAATTGACTCACCTTTATAATGTGATATTGTCACAAATAGAAAGCTTTTAATTATTTAAAAAAATTAACCCAATTTAAGTGAGATTTACTATTCATCAAGACACTGTTTTGACCAATTGACTAACATATTCCATCATATCATGTTTAGCTTTTTAAGTATAAACCTTAACTCATTTTTATTCAATATGCATTAGATCATAACAATTCCCGGTTACATCAGTTAAAATACAAAACTAAGATCTCAATAAGTTTAATATAATTATTAAAGATAAATAAAATAAATAATATTATGTTTAAATATGGGACAGAATCTTTTTATACAAATTTATGGCCGTTGATCTATCACAATCTAATATTTTAAAAGTTGATGAGGTGACAATGAAATAATCTCTCCCAACTTTTATCATAAATAATTTTATAAATATTATATATTGCTAATTCATATATAGTCGGAAACTACACAGAAACAAGGGAAGCCAACCATGGGGCAGTTTGCCAGTTTCCAGAATGACATACCTCAGGTTTGTTGCAATCCTTGAGTGTGTATATATATGTATTTTTGATGATAAGATTTGTTGATACAGAAATTTGCACATCGACCTTGCCGGAATTGGAACTGATGTATGCGTGATTAGGAATAATCAACTATGAAAATGTGGGAAGAATGCAATAGAGTAAGAACATAGAAAGTTTTAAAGTGGTTTGGTGAGGTTAAACTCTGATGCATACGTCTATTGTCTTTGCATTTGCTGTGAGAACTTACAATGCAATTCTCAATGAAAAATTCGTGACCCCTCTCCCATTGTTTGAGGGGGTTTTTATATACAAATTTTATACAAAACAAATAACAAAATTGAGGGGATTGTGATTGATTTGAATCGTAATCTTGGTATTCTTGCGATTGGGTGCTATAATCATGTAGTGATCACTGTTGATCTAGTCGTTTCCGTGATATATGAGATTTGAAGTGACATGGGGATTGATTGAATGATGGGTTGGATTATTCATGACTAGTTTATGTTAGGTCGAGCTTGTCTTCGACGAGCTTATGCTTGATCGATCGATCACCATCATTGAGCTTCTTCTGGGTCGAGCTATATTCTTGCATCGGCCCGAGTTTGTTGGGAAAATCACACACAACAAGATTAATTTTTGGTAGTGTGAAAACAAAGCTTGAAAGAAAGCATTAACTTTTCATTTGAGATGGAATCTCAATTCGATATTTGTCATTATGAATGTATATTTGCTTGGTGTGAACAATTGACTTTTAACATATAGAATTACCCCTTTTTTTCTCGACCTGTCTTGTGGTGAGTGTTACTTTAATCGTACCTTAGGGAAATACCCTCTTCATGAAGAAGCCTCGACTCCTATCCATTAGAGCATCCAAGCACAACTCATCAAGTAAATTGTCAGCATCATAAATATGATAGAAGCCTCGGCTCCTATCATATTTATTAGATATGGAATCACAATAATATGCATGATTACATTAGTTGAGATACAATTATACAAAATTGAGATCTCTGTAATACGTTATAAGTTTAACATTATTAATAAAGAGTTATAATCTTGCTTACTTATATATATATATATATACAATAATTATTTTGTGACAATTTAAACATATATTGGGTGGTTTGGTAGCAACACTGTGTAATGGATTGATTGAAAATTTGAAATTTACCTTTGGTTGTTTGAATATGTTTGCTTGATGGGAACTTCATATGAATTTCTAACCACTAATCCTACCCTCACTGACTGATATTCATCTTTCTCCACCATGATGATTCTTAATACAAAAAATTTTTATAAACAAAAAGCTAGATGTAGAAGACAATTCTTCCATCTTGGACATTTCTGCCATTATCAATTAATTGATTATTCCCTGTCACCTTTCTTTTTCCTTGAGTACTCTACACAATAATATAATTCTACCTTATATAGTCCACATGATAATAAGATCAGAAAAAAAGATGCCCCCACATAAAAATGCCAACATTCCCAATTTTAATAAAATTCGAAGTCTTGTAATATCGATCCTAAGGATAATAGAATTTGACTTATACTTTCTAAGAAACCAAGGTATTGGAAATTCGATAAAAAGGCTAACAAAAAGAGCAAACACAATAGACGTATAACCCAAAAGAAAAATTAAACAGTTGGTAAATATTTATATATGAATAAAGAAAAACATCAAAAACCAAAAAGAAACGAACTTCTAGGGAGACAATTGGTGAGTATCCAATGTGTTTCTGTGCAGCAGTGCAATCAAATGTCTTGGTGGGTGTAGCTAATTGAAAAAGTAAAATGCGGATAGAGAATGGTTATGTGATCTCAAGCCCAGCCTTGCATGTGTCGATTTGACAAGCAAGCAAACATACGAAACCAAACTAATAAGAAGTCTTATAAACGGTCAGCAATAAAAAGAAGCAACAGCTCAAGTTCAGATCCTTGTATCAGAAAATCCAAGATAGTTATAAAAAAAGAAACACAGAATTATTCCATGCACCTAATACAGCAGCACAAGAGAATATAAACAGCACCACAATGAAAATAACATCATAATCATATGTTTACCCATTTCAAGTTGTCTAGTATCCTTGTTTCATTTATCAAATGGATGAATTGGTAAAAATAATGTTGATGTTTGTTCTAATCATCCACATATGTGTATGCAGGAATGAGGTTATGCGCGACTGGTAACTTATTTTCAGTTTCTAACAACTGGAATCAAATCAAGCAAGAAAGAAACAAGAACCAAGCCAAATTTTTCCCAGAATGGAATGTTTGACTATGATGATATTCTAAATGCAACATTTCAGTTAATGTCAGCTAGTGCTTCTATAGAAATTCTAACATAACAAAATCAGAATGCAACTTCACCTTTGATATCCCAAGCCTTCCAATATAAAAGATACAAATTCCCAGAGCTTAATAGGCCTTTAGATTCATGATGAAAAGCCTACATGTTGATTGAAAGAAGAAATTTTTATTTTGCACTGATCTTAGGAAAAAAAAATATCCAGTAAATGTCCAAAATATCACTACTTTTCCAACCACAAAACCTTCTTGAATCTAGAGCTTCAGCTGCACGGACAGTGAAATGAGTAGCATTCTCAGCATAGGTGAAGTCCGACATATATTCACCATTTCCTATAATAAACCGAATGAGAAATCCTGTTACTTTAAAAGATCAAATAAAACCTCACATGCACCTAAGAAATACAAAACCAAACTACATTTCAATACAAAGTTTATAGTTTCATATCAAGAAGAATTTCTTAACAAAAATGTACTTCAATGTAATCAGGTTGTGATCTAGGGGCAAGCCTAGAATCATCAATATTATGGTTTGGGGATACAGTAAAAAATTAATAAAAAATTTCAAAAAAAAATAAAGTCTATTATCGTAGTCAAATATCATCAAGTATACTTCAGATAAATATTTCCATCACATTGGACAACTTACAAAATCCGCATAAAACAGAAAAAAGTAAGTTAATCAGACATAAAATATCAAACCTTTGCCCAGCCAGATTCGGCCAAATTCACTAGAGAAGGCACAAACTGTTTATCTCCTGGTCCAAAAACATTGCTAGGACGAAAAGCACGTGTCAGGAGACCATCAATATTGTTAGCAAACAAACTAGAGCTTCTGCTTGAGCCTGCTCAAAACTGCCTGCATTGCAAGTGTATGTTTATTACCATTTCTGCAATTCTAAGAGAAGTCGATGAGATTTACCCAAATCAATTATTTTCGGAAACATAATTTCATCATAGCATTTCATATGTTAGGAATTGTGACATTATATTACACATTATAAATAACTATTTGTTAACTTGGATGATGTTCAGGCTTGTGACATCAAGGACCCAAAGCAAAACATAGATGGACAGTGCCAGAGGGAGGTGGTGGTCCAGGCTACTCAGTCATGTAATGTATAGCAACTGCCTGCCTATTTCATTGCATATTGAAGTAAATGGGTTTGCTATTTTAATATTATTGAATTTGTTATGCCAAGGAAATAAAGGGCTGACGTGGGAAATCACGTGAAGGGCGACCTGCTCCCGTCAGAGCAGCACGCACACGTCAGACCTGCCAAGTGATATGAGCCCACACGCGCCTTTCTCCTGCACAAGTCGTGCGATGTCAGCTTGGAAAAGGAAATGGACGTAAAGCCGGATTCACATACTGACATCACACCAAACCACGGATTGAGTGATGATTATACGCTTCAGTCCAGTATAAAATAGGGAAGACCCCTTCATTAAAGGGATTCGCCATTTTTCATACTAAGAAGAAATCTCTCTCCTGTAATCATTTTTTACTTTTTCGTCTTATGTAGTCAGCTCGCGACCGCGACCTGACACCCACTAATACAATACAAATCAGTGGATGTAGGATTTGTTACCTTAGCATCCGAACCACTTAAAAAACTCCCTTACATTTATCTTTTACATATTCCTTTTTCACGTATGTTAACGCCAACCAATATATACACGTAAAAATTCGTTGGTGCAAAATTAGAACATCAACAGAATTGATAGCAACTATGAAATGTGTTTGAATTAAAGGTCATGGTAATAATCTGTGTCATTTTAGGATTCGGATCTTCTTGTCCCTCGTTTTCATGTAGGTTTTTTTTTTTAATTATTATTTCTGAACCAAGAGATTCTAAATTGGGATTTAATGCTATAAAAGACTATATTTCTCAAATACGAGAAATTTAATTGAATTTGTGTAAACCTAAAAATGAGGTGACAGAATTAGTCCCAATGAATATCTATGAAAGGTCATTTTCTGTAAACAGTTTTTCAAGACCTAAAGATAAGCTAAATCCGTGCTTGTATATAAATACATTGGTGGTTCCTGTAGAAAGACAAATAACACTATGGCATGAAAACAAGTTATGTTTAGAAATTTCTTTTGAAAATCATTAAAATCAATTTAATTTTGATTTTATTATAAGAAAAACAAAAATTTCTTTACTATGTATAATTTTGAAATTAATGTTAATATATTTTATACCTAGACTAATTAGAAAATTAATGGGATCTAATTCATATAATATAACTCTAATTTCTTTATTTTTTAGGGCTTTTTAATTTTATTTTTGTAATTGGTGTTACATTTAAATAATTGATTTCAATTGGTGTCTTTAATTATATGGATTTTTCTCCTTCATGTATCACTATATGATATAATATAATAAATGTCAGAATATAATAACTTAGATGAACAATATTAAGATAAAAAAATGATGTCTTATGATTAAAAAAATTGAGATAGAACTTGAGAATATTTGTCATTTTTTCTTTATATAAAAATGTTAACCTCTTATTTCATTTCAGCTTCATGGGTAACTCGTATTAAAAGTACAAATTAAGTAAATGGAAAAGATGAAAACATATCAATTATTTCAACCACATATAATTAATTATTTTTCAGGTTGTTCAACCAAATTTTGTACATGCGAATTTCAATTTGAAGTCATCACTCGAGATTTCCCAACAATCATAAACATCTTTAATTTCTTTCACCAAGGAATCATTGTTACTAGTAACGGAGATACGTATTGATAAGAAATCACGTGCCATCCTTGCTAGTGTTGGATAAATTGAAGAATGGAGTCTCCCACCATTGTAGTATATCAACCTTTTATCTGAAGGACACTTGGATCATTCAAATAGCAGTTGAGTTCTGATTCTGGAGAGGACGATGACATAGAATTATTAGTTCCCTTTACATATTGGTTGAAATGTTTTGTAACATCGTCAATCATTCCCTTGAGTTGTGTAGTTGCATCATTACCATACATCTCTTGTATAAATTTTCTACAAATAAAGTCTATTTTGAATCTTGGATCCAAAATCACTGGAATTACTAAATCACCTTAGAATGTTCCAATATTCATCAAATATTCCCGAATACGTGATGCAGTGACGAGAGTAATGATTATCACTTTTTTCAAGCTGAATTAATTTCGAAAAAATCTGACAAAACACTGGGAAATTCACGTTTGCGGTTTTATTATTTTCCGTTTCTAATAATTTCCCAACATCTTCTCTCCAATCATCAAACACTTTCCAACTGTCGTACAGTAAATCTCGCCTCATCCCAATCCTCTATAAAATTTATAGAATTGAAATTAGGATCTGTATCCTCCAGTTCATAAATTTCTTCTTTACATCCCATTACCCACTCAACCACATCCTTGTCTTCCACCCATGTGAAGATAAACTTTCCGAAGTTGAAGCTTTCTCAATCCCTGATTGAAGCTCCTCTGCATTTTTTATAATGTAGTCCCTCAGCTTTCTCATATTAGTTAAAATATCATTCGCAAATTTTTGCCAACCCATCAAAACTGATAGCAAGATCAATTTTTATTAATAAAGTTAAAACCGATTGAAAAGTCCCAGTAACCATTGCCAATATCCTTAACTTCCTCGCATCCAGATACATAAAAAGATCCAAATTTATCATAGAGCATATTTCTTTGTCTCTCTTCCAATCCTCAGAGAAAGGCTTCACTCGTTTCTTGATATCAATATGCTTTCTCCCAAACAAATAATCCTATTTTAAATTCCAACTATCATCAATAACCCAGATTTTCATTGACCAACTGTCCATGCCCAATTCACGCTGTTGCAACGGGTCAATTGTCACATTAAAACGACATGTGAGTTTATCTAAATATTCATGAATCTTATCCTTCTCTTGTTGGTAAACATCAACTATATCATCCTTTATGCCTTTTATCCCATACTTATAATCTTCGCACCAAATCAGAACCATTCGATTCTGATCAATCACTGTTTTCTCTTTTTTGCTTATCAGCAACTCCACCTGGATTTCTCAAAACTGGGCAGCTTTTTAAATGATTTTTGAGATGCGTGGTTCCACTCTTACTTGATCCTACAAACTCTTTCTACAGTGTTTACACTGAGCCCATTCCTTCCCATCTTTGCCTACATACTTTCTGAAGTCTTTCCAAACCTCTGACCTCCATTTCCGTTTAGAACCGATGAATTCCCCACATTTGTATTCGTCAACATCTCAATCTCTTTATGTTTTTCTCTCATGTGGTAACTTCCTGTTAATATACAAATAGCTCTATCACCTACTAATTAAACAATAAAAAGCAAATTTAACTGACCTCACCGAGACGAATGAATACAAATATTTTAGGCGACCAAGTATATTCTATAGTTTACTAGTGAATACCTTTGCAGAAGAAGAGATGAACAAAGAAAGTTTTAAGAAAAGAATTTCCAAAAATGATTCATTTGTTTTAGTTTGAAAATATACAAGATGATAACTCACTGATCCTTCCATCAATCGTTTGTAAGCTAAAGATGAACAGTTGAGATTAACTATTATAGCACAGGTTATTTTAGATTTCTTTCTTCTTATTAATAGGTATAAGAGAGAGTTACCTGCGCATGATGCAGATCTGTTGTATTGATATATGAAGATACACGTGCTTCTTCCCGTTGCGCTAAAGATTCAATTTCCTATAAATTTTAATGATAAAAAACATGTAATATCATAAATTATTTACTTCACCAAAACCATCAAAACAAAGAATCCAAATCTAACTCTAATTTACCTTTTGTATGACAGTAAAATAACCACATGAACCATTTTTTATATTTTATTTTCAAGATTCACATAAGCTAATTCTTTATAGGAAGAATACCATATAAACAGTAAAATAACAACAACCCAAAAAAACAACTGAAGATGAATAAACATGTTAATATGTAATGTTACCTTTATTTGTCGTTGAAGAGATAGAAGATAGGTGATGATTTCATCAAATAATCCAGCCTTTTCTGGAGTCGAGTTGTACCAGTGTGCTAAATTTTGCAAACGCTTCATTCCCTCACTGATTGTTGCCTTTCCCACCTACATAAAAGGACACGGATTCGAGTTATTTTTTTCCTGATATTGAGATGGAATTAGAGTAAGAAAACAAATACCTACCTGAAAATACAGATGAGGATCAAATTCCATGGTTCTTGCTTCCATTTCTCACCTTACAAACAAACCTAAATAATTTAGTAGCTAAGTTTTTGAATGAGAAAACCTGGCGATCTTTCAGTTAACATATAGCAATTTTGGTCTGTGAGTGCTTATTTTTCATTTCCCTGTTTACATATGGCCTGCAAACAAAGGATAAGAAGTCAAAAAGAAGCGATCAAATGCTTCTTGCTCCGTTATTTCTTAATTAATTTAAATGTAATTATTTAATCTACAACTTGTTTCACAATAATAATTTTAAACAAGTTTCGACTTTCCAAATTCCAAATAAATTTTAATTTAATCTACAACTTGCTTTAAAATATTACTGTTAGTTGTAACTTCAACTCAGAACCATTCCAATAATTCAACTAACACTCAGCCAATGGCCATTGACTTTAAATTTCGATTAAAGAACTGCTTATATAGCGGTGAAGTTATGATCCTGGGGTAGCAATATAATTATGTTGAGAAAATGCAAATAATTTCCCCATGATGTCTAGCATTTTTCATGGAGTACTCGAAGAATTACTAAAACCATTGTCCGGAGAGGATGATGATATAGAATTGTTAGTGTTTTGTATATCCATTGAGTGTACAGTATTTTTAAAATAATCAATGATTATGTGAAAGTGAGCATTTGCATCGTTACCGTATATCTCTTCGGAAAAATGTTTTACAATATTCATTTTGTATCATGGATCCAAAATTACCGTAATTATTAAAACCAACTTAAAATTGTCCCAATATTCATCAAAAATATTTCCCAAAACATGACGAAACGATCCAGCATCTGTGTCGCTACTTAACTTTAGTTTTCTTGGAAAAGTTCCTTTCCAACCTCTGACCTCCATTTCCGTTTAGAACTGATGAATTCCCCACTTTGTATTCGTCACCATCTCAATCTCTTTTGTTTTCTCTCATGGTGGTACTTCCTGTTAATATACAATAGCTCTATCACTACTATAAACAATAAAAAGCAAATTTAACTGACCTCAACGAGACAATGAATACAAATATTTTAGGCGACCAAGTATATTTATCTATAGTTTACTAGTGAATACCTTTGCAGAAGAAAGAGATGAACAAAGAAAGTTTTAAGAAAAGAATTTCCAAAATAGATTCATTTGTTTTAGTTTGAAAATATACAAGATGATAACTCACTGATCCTTCCATCAATCGTTGTAAGCTAAAGATGAACAGTTGGATTAACTATTATAGCACAGGTTATTTTAGATTTCTTCTTATTAATAGGTATAGGGGGGCAGGATGAGTAGTTGACCTGGCTGCGTTGGGGTCAATTATTATTTCTTGAACCAAGAGATTCATAAATTGGGATTTAATGCATATAAAAGACTAATGTTTCTCAAATACGAGAAATTTAATTGAATTTGTGTAAACCTAAAAATTAGGTGACAGAATCAGTCCCAATGAATATCTATGAAAGATCATTTTCTGTAAACAGTTTTTCAAAGACCTAAAGATAAGCTAAATCCGTGCTTGTATATAAATACATTGGTGGTTCCTGTAGAAAGACTAATAACACTATGGCATGAATCTTTTGTCAAACAAGTTATGTTTAGAAATTTCTTTTGAAAATCATTAAAATCAATTTAATTTTGATTTTATTAATAAAGAAAAACAAAAATTTTCTTTACTATGTATAATTTTGAAATTAATGTTAATATATTTTATACCTAGACTAATTAGAAAATTAATGGGATCTAATTCATATAATATAACTCTAATTTCTTTATTTTTTAGGGCTTTTTAATTTTATTTTTGTAAATTGGTGTTACATTTTAAATAATTGATTTCAATTGGTATGTCTTTAATTATATAGGATTTTTCTCCTTCATGTATCACTATATGATATAATATAATAAATGTCAGAAGATATATAACTTTAGATGAACAATAATTAAGATATAAAAATGACATGTCTTATGATTAAAAAAATTGAGATAGAACTTGAGAATATTTGTCATTTTTTCTTTATATAAAAATGTTAACCTCTTATTTCAATTTCAGCTTCATGGATAACTCGTATTAAAAGTATAAAATTAAGTAAATGGAAAAGATGAAAACATATCTATTATTTCAACAACATATAATTAATTATTTTTCAGGTTGTTCAACTAAAATTTTGTACATGCGAATTTCAATTTGAAGTCATCATCATCGAGATTTCCCAGACAATCATAAACATCTTTAATTTCTTTCACCAAGGAATCATTGTTACTAGTAACAAAGATACGTATTGATAAGAAATCACATGCCATTCTTGCTAGTGTTGGATAAATTGAAGAATTGAGTCTCCACCATTGTAGTATATCAAACCTTTTATCTGAAGGACACTTGGGATCATTCAAATAGCAGTTGAGTTCTGATTATTGAGAGGACGATGACATAGAATTATTAGTTCCCTTTATATATTGGTTGAAAATGTTTGTAACATCGTCAATCATTCCCTTGAGGTGTGTAGTTGCATCATTACCATACATCTCTTTGTATAAATTTTCTACAATAAAGTCTATTTTGAATCTTGGATCCAAAATCACTGGAATTACTAAAATCAACTTAGAATTGTTCCAATATTCATCAAAATATTCCCGAATACGTGATGCAGTGAGGCGAGAGTAATGATTATCACTTTTTTCAAGCTGAATTAATTTCGAAAAAATCTGACAAAACACTGGGAAATTCACGTTTGCGGTTTTATTATTTTCCGTTTCTAATAATTTCCCAACATCTTCTCTCCAATCATCAAACACTTTCCAACTGTCGTACAGTAAATCTGCCTCATCCCAATCCTCTATAAAATTTATAGAATTGAAATTAGGATCTGTATCCTCCAGTTCATAAATTTCTTCTTTACATCCCATTACCCACTCAACCACATCCTTGTCTTCCACCCATGATGAAGATAAACTTTCGGAAGTTGAAGCTTTCTCAATCCCTGATTGAAGCTCCTTTGCATTTGTTATAATGTAGTCCCTCAGCTTTCTCATATTAGTTAAAATATCATTTCGTGAAATTTTTGCCAACCCATCAAAACTGATAGCAAGATCAATTTTTATTAATAAAGTTAAAACCGATTGAGAAGTCCCAGTGAACCAATTGCCAATATCCTTAACTTCCTCGCATCCAGATACATAAAAAGATCCAAATTTTATCATAGAGCATATTTTTTTGTCTCTCTTCCAATCCTCGGAGAAAGACTTCACTCGTTTCTTGATATCATATATGCTTTCTCCCAAACAAATAATCCTATTTTTCAATTCCCAACTATCATCAATAACCCAGATTTTCATTGACCAACTGTCCATGCCCAATTCACGCGTTGGCAACGGGTCAATTGTCACATTAAAACGACATGTGAGTTTATCTAAATATTCATGAATCTTATCCTTCTCTTGTTGGTAAACATCAACTATATCATCCTTTATGCCTTTTATCCCATACTTAATAATCTTTCGCACCAAATCAGAACCATTCGATTCTGGATCAATCACTGTTTTCTCTTTTGCTTTATCAGCAACTCCACCTGGATTTCTCAAAACTGGGCAGCTTTTTAAATGATTTTTGAGATGCGTGGTTCCACTCTTACTTGATCCTACAAACTCTTTCTTACAGTGTTTACACTGAGCCCATTCCTTCCCATCTTTGCCTACAGAGTATGTGAAGTCTTCCCAAACCTTTGACCGCCTTTTCCGTTTAGAACATGATGAATTCTCCACATTTGTATTCATCACCATTTCAATCTCTTTATTTTGTTCTCTTATTTGGGTGATTTCCTGTTAATATACAAATAGCTCTATCACTTACTAAACAATAACAAGCAAATTTAACTGACCTCAACGAGACAGAATGAATACAAATATAAACCTTTGAAGAAGAAAGAGATAAACAAAGAAAGTTTTAAGAAAAGAATTTCTAGAAAAGTTCACTAATGATTTATTTGTTTTAGTTTGAATATATACAAGATGACAGCTCACTGATCCTTCCATCAATCCTTGTGAGCTAAAGATGAACGAAGGAGATTAAAAGAAAACAAACACAAATGACTAACTAACTAGCACGGGGTATTCTAGATTTCCTCTTACTAATATGTATAAGAGAGAGAAAGAGAAAGAGTTACCTGTCCATGGCGCAGATCTGTTGTATTGATATTGGAAGATACATGTGCTTTTCCCCGTTGTGCTAAAGATTCAATCTCCTATATATTTTAAAGGTAAAAAAATGTAATATCATGAATTATTTGCTTCACCAAAACTAGGGGTAAACACGATTAGCATGCAGGTAGAACTAGAACCTGCAAGTAGAACAGGAACCAGAACCTACCCAGAATCGACACTTTATAGGTAGGTTCCAGTTCCATTTTATTGAAACTAACACTTTGTGGCTCCGGTTCTATTTCTTACAGGTTTTGGAACCGGAACCAAAACTTGGGAAAAGAACCTGAAGCAGGTACTCGGCTTGGAACCTGCTTAGAACCTATTTGTGTTTTAGTTTTGATTAAGAAATTTTATGTGAATTGTGATGAATTAATTGAATTCAAGTGTTGCCTAGAGATTAGAGGATTTATGAGTCACATTTGACACAAATGAATGAGTAATCAAAAGTTGAAAACTACCAAATATAGGTTTTCTTAATTTGTTAGAGGTGTATTTGTAAACTATTAAGGTATTTTGTCATTTTTAAACTACTAAGAGAGTAATTAATTTTTTACACGGTACCCAAGTAAGGAACGAGAACCTGCATTTCAGGATCTGATTCCTTGAATTTAAGAATCAGAACCTGTCGGTTCCAGTTCTGGTTCCTTTTTTTGGGAACATGCACTGTGCAGTTCCGATTTCGGTTTCCCCAAAAAATTTAGGATACTCGAAACTCCTCACCCCTAACCAAAACCATCAAAGCAAAGAACCCACATCAGCTTTAATTTACCTTTTGTATGACGGTAAATAACCCCATGAGCCATTTGTTATTTTTTATTTTCAAGATTCACATAAGCTAATTCTTTATAGGAAGAATACCATACAGGCAGTAAACAACAACCACCCAAAAAAACAAACAAAGACGAATAAACATGTTAATCTGTAATGTTACCTTTATTTGTCGTTGAAGAGATTGAAGATAACTGACGATTTCATCAAAAATTCCAGCCTTTTCTGGGCGCGAGTTGTACCAGTTTGCTAAATTTTGCAAACGCTTCATTCCCTCACTGATTGTTTCCTTTCCCATCTACATAAAATTAAAGTACATAGATACGAGATATTATTTTTTGAGATTGAAATGGAATTAAAGTAAGAAAACAAATACCTACCTGAAAATATAGATACAACTGAGGATCAAATTCCATGGTTCTTGCTTCCATTTCTCACCTTACAAACGGCCTAAATAATTTAGTAGGTAAGCTTTTGAATGAGAAAAACAGGCGATCTTTCGGTTAATATATAGCAATTTTGGTCTGTGAGTGCTTATTTTTCATTTCCCTGTTTACATGTTGCTTGCAAAAAAAGGAAAAGAACTAAAAAAGAAGCGATCAAATGCTTCTTGCTCCGTTATTGCTTAATTAATTTAAATATAATTATTTAATCTACAACTTGTTTCAAAATAATAATTTTAAACAAGTTTCGACTATCCAAATTCCAAATAAATTTTAATTTAATCTACAACTTGCTGTAAAATATTACTGTTAGTTGTAACTTCAACTCAGAACCATTCCAATAATTTAAAAAGTTTGAATAGTCGACATAGAGTTTTATTTCCATGTTGGTTCACGCGTATCCAACTAACATTCAGCCAACGGCTATTGACTTTAAATTTTTGTAGAACATGAGATTATCCGAATGAAGCAAAACAAGCCAACCTAACTTTCTAATCAGTAGCAAATAACACAAGTAAATAACATAAAGTAAAAAGAGAGTAGAAGAGAAGCTGTACACAAGAAATTATAGTAGTTCAGTAATCAATTGATTACTTACATCCACTTTTCAGGGTAATAATAAAAATTTCAGTATGAGAAAATTAAACCTTACAGAGATTGTAGCTCTCATACTTACATAAAGAAACCTGAGAATAACTCTTTGTAATACACCCAAATAACCCAGATGTTCCTCACCTCTCATACATCATAGAAAACCAGAAATTAAAGGATGATTTATACACAGAAAAATGAATCAAAAGGATAACAAACTAAACCTACTAGTATCGTTGATCTCATCATACGATCTTCAAGGTTCCAGCTCAAACCATTTGTAACAACCTCTCTCTCTCTTTGTAACCAAGAGAGAACAATCGAGAATTGAAGCACAAACACTATGTCAACCAAAACCAATTTAGGTTACAAAACCAATCGGGAAATTCACTAATTGCCAATTTTCTTTTATCAAATAATTTTGACCACCCAAGTTATCATTTTGACTTCCATGTAGGCATAAATCAATGCCACATCACAACAAATCTCCACCTTGATATTTGTTTTTTGCCATCCCTCACTGCCTAGTAATCTGTCTCTAACTTCCTTCAATGTGTAGTACGCTCTTAAAGAGCCTAAGCTTGTCCAAAGAAATAGCTTTGGTGAACATATCTATTGGGTTTTCTTACCAGGAATCTTCTTCATCTTGATGACTTTATCTTCAATCAAATTCTTGATAAAATGGAGTCTGACATCGATGTGTTTTAACCTCTTATGAAAGACTTGATTTTTGCACAAGAAAACTGCACTTTGAATGTCACTCTTGATTGGAACTTGCTGCTGACTCAGTTCCATCTCATCAAGCATTCCCCTGAGCCACATTGATTCTTTTGCTGCCTCGGTAATTGGAACATATTCTGCCTCCATAGTTGACAGAGTAACTATAGGCTACAAGTTAGCCTTCTAGCAAACCAAATTATCCCATAGAGAAAAACAGAAACTAGTCATGGATTTTCTATTGTCTACATTTCTTGCATAATCAGCATCAACACACCCTATAATGAGGTTCACCTGATTTTTCCCTCTGCTGTAAACAATACCAGTGGACAGTGTACCCCTGACATATCTAAGAATCCATTTAACAACTTCCCAATGACTCTTTCCAGGATTACTCATAAATCTACTTATAGAACTGACTGCAACGACCAAATCTAGTCTTGACCATTAGATACAGGCTTCCTATTGCATTTGCATAACGAATGTAGGCCATTTCCCTTGTTTCTTCTTCTATTTTTGGACACTAGACTGCACTCAGTTTAAAATGCTGACCTATAGGTGTTTTAACAGGTTTACAATCATACATATTAAACTTTATGATTTTTTCAGCATATTCTTTCTGAGATAACACCAGTCTTCTAGTTCTTCTATCCCTTTCAATATTCATACCTAGGATCTTTCTAGCTTGCCTCAAAATTTTTCATTTCAAACTGCTTACTCATCTTTGCTTTAAATCTAACAATTTCATAAGGATCTTTACAGGCCAGAAGCATATCATCCACATATAATGCCAGATAAATATAACATTCACCATACAAGCATTTGAAATAGAAATAACCATCAAAGCTACTTCTAACAAAACCAGCACTCACCATAAAACTGTCAAACTTTCTATACCACTGCCTAGGTGATTGTTTTAACCTATGCAAGGATTTTTTTTCAGAAGACATACTTGGTTTTTAGACCCCTTTTCAAACATCTCAGGTTACTCCATCAAAATCTTCTCTTCTAAATCACCATTTAAGAATACTGTTTTGACATCTAATTGCTTTAGTTCCAATTCAAACTGAGCTACCAAGGATAAACAGACTTTAATAGTTGTATGTCTCACAACTGGTGAGAAAATCTCATTATAGTCAACCCCTTCAACCTGTGTGAACCCCTTTGCCACCAATTTAGCTTTGAACCTAGGTGCTTTTACCCTTGGTATACCCTTCTTTTTTTTGAAAACCCATTTACACTTAACAACCCTACTACCCTCAGGTTTGTTAATAAGAATCCAAGTCTGATTTTTTATCAAGGAATCATACTCTTCCTGCATAACCAGTTTCCACAACCTAGAATCTCTACTACTCATGGCTTTCTTAATTGTTCTAGGTTCTTCTTCAATCTCTTCAGCAAACTTGAAGGGCAAAGGCAACGATATCAACATGAGAGTATCTACTAGGTAGTCTGATTTGCCTTCTTTCTCTATCTGTAGTAAATTGATAATTTTGCAAATGATTGTCATCACCATCCTTATCATCTAAGCTAGATTCATTCACTTGAGTTTGAGGGTTTTCTTGTTGATTATCTGGATGAGTATTATCAGAAATTCAAAGTTCTACACTTAGGTCCAGATTAATCACTTTTGTTCTACTTGTACAATCACTCCCTTTCTCACTCAAACTACCCAGTTCATCCTCATTAAATTTTACATCTCTACTGACAATGCACCTTTTCCCTACAATATCCCAATATTTATACCCCTTTACTCCATTAGGATAACCTAGAAAAATGCACCTAATAGCCCTTGGTTATAACTTATCAGATTTTTCATGCACAAACATAGTACATCCAAAAACTCTTAGGTTACTATAATTGGCAGGATGTCCAGACCATTTCTCTATGGGTGCTTTGAAATCAATGGCTAAAGAGGGTATTCTATTTATTAGATAAACAGCAGTGTGGGCAACCTCTGCCCAGAATCTGGTGGGTAGTTTAGCATAGGAAAATAGGCTTCTGACTTTCTCTAAAATGGTTCTATTTATTCTTTCTGTTAGGTCATTTTGTTGAGGTGTGTACCTCACTGTTCTATGACTCATAATTCCACTATCCCTACACAAACTATCGAACTCTTCATTGATAAATTCTAACCCATTATGTGTTCTCAGTTTCCTAATTTTCTTCCCAGTTTGATTTTCTATCATAACCTTCCATTCTTTGAATTTTCTAAAAGCCTGTCCTTTATTCTTCAAGAAATAGATCTAGACCTTCCTAGAAAAGTCATCAATTATACTAATGAAGAATCTACAACCTCTCAAAGAAGGACACTTTGTAGGTCCCCACACATCAGAGTGAATATAATCCAGAATAGACTTAGAACAATGTTTCCCAACGCTAAATCTAATTCTACTCATTTTTCCATGAACACAATTATCAAAAAAGGACAGTTTGTCTATTTTATTCCCTCCTAAGACATTTTGCTTACTCAGCTCTATTAAGCCTCTCTCACTAATGTGTCCCAATCTCTTGTGCCACAC